AGGGAAAATGAGACAAGATTTCTGACCAGGATAAGAATTTTGACATGGTATCTTGACATAATTTCATGGGATTGGTATCTTACATGATCTCCTTTAATTAAAATGGTAACTTTGAGTTAAATATAAACTTTAAAAATAAGCCCATTCACATTTTAGAACTCATATTTTTAGAATAAAATAATGAAACTATTCTTCTAAGGCTTTTATTTTTACTCTACATTTAGTAAACTATAGGAAGAACATTCTTTTTATTGTAATAGCCTTTCAACTTACTGCAATTAAAAAAAAACCAAACTAAATATTGAAACAAGGAAAGCGAAACAAATATTTATTTATTTATTTAACTTACCATCAGACATGCTTTTTAAAATGTAGAGGAAACACATCAGTAGGCTCTTAATCTCAGATTGGTCAAGTTTGTCACATCGAACCACGGAATTTCCCAAAGTATTGCTTTGTTGGTGCTAAAAAGAAAATGGTGTAAGTTGTCTCTTTCATTCTAGGGGGAAAATTCATTTCATTTTTCTCCCTTATAAGAGAAAGATTCTTAGAACTGAGTCGAATCATACACAGACTGGAAGGTAAAGTAATTGGCTGATAACTGCAGGCACACCTTTACCCAGATCGAATGTCCACAGGTGCCGTTCCTAGAAGGAGCTGGCTTGTCTCTTGCATACTTCTCTAAGGGACAAGCCAGATGGCCTGAGTCTTTCCCAATGGACAACCACAATTTAGTTACGCCAAGTACAACCTTCTGAAATGCCAAGTAAAATCTCATGCAAAAAAAAGTACATGTGCTAGTACCAGACACAGAAATGATGACTCAAAAGATGGCGCACAACCATCTCCTCAGGAAAATGGCAGTGGCTGGGTCAGCTAGGAAAGCCTGGGTGCTGCTACCTGCCTGCCACAAAGCTCTGGGGCTGCGGCTCCGTCATCCGGGGCACAGTGGGGCAGTGTTAGGGAAATCGACGGGCAGGTACCCAACAGGGAGACACAGGGACACCTCAGCGCAACACTGCCAAAGACCCGAAACTGATGCAATGACTCCATCATCAGCTTGGCTCAACACTGCACACGTCAGAAAGCACGGGGCAGAAGGGGAGGCCAGTTTTGCCACTAGGAGCAGGTGCACATTAAAAACAGAATAAGCATCTTATCCCAGACTAAAAACACAGAGGCGATTTAAGAACTCTCCAAGTTATATTTCCGATGGAAACCAGGAACTTTTTTTTTGGCATAGAGCAAAGCAAAAACATCAGTGAAAAATGTTTCATTTAACGTGGTGGTGGCTAATTAAAAACATATATATATATGTATGTATATATATATATATAT